ACCTCTGTCCTGTGAGCTAATCCTGGGGAACTGGCTGTGCTTGACCTACTAGGCACTGGAAGGACCCCTCCCCCGACTCCACATCCTGGAGAGTTGTAGCCTGAGGGTCTCTGCCCAGGCACAGAGGCTGAGGGTTGGGACAGCCATGTGACAGGTACACAAATAAGTAGGCCAGGAGCCAGCCCGTCCTGCAGCTTAGAGGTTGTGTCTGGAGAGGACATTAGGTCTGAAGTTGGGGGACCTCACACAGGTTCCTTAACCCCTCTGGGTCCTCCGTTTCTCCCTCTGAAAATGGAGCAAAGAGTTGCCTTGTCACTCCACAGGCTTGTTGATAATGAGGAGATGCTATCGTCATCACGTAAAGATGGTGTGGTATTCGTCCTGGGCCTTCTTCCTTTCCCTCTTATACCCATATCAACCTTTTATTCATTTGAAGTTTTTTCTCACTACTTTCATTTTTCATGGATGGGAAGGTTGTTTTTTTTTTTTTTTTCTTTTGCCTTAGGAAGGTCTATTTTGAGTCTTCACCATGTTCCAGGCCCAGGGCCAGGTGCTGGGACACACAGGCAGATAACCACACCCGCAGGTCTTCTCTCAGAAAGGCTCCGGGGGTCCTCAGGCCAAAGCCTACTTGGTAGGTATGGAATTCTCCAACAGCAGAATTCTGTGAGCCTGTGCCCTAGAGGGAGCCTCAGAAGGACAGACAAGGTTGGCAGTTCTCCCTGACAAAACACAGTCACCCAGAAGCCACATGTGAGAGCAAGATGTCTACTTAGAACAGGGAACATGGTGTGGGCCTTGTATTTTTGAGATGGTGCCTGAGACATAGGACTCGGCCGTTCCTTACTTAGACTTATTTCTATGTTSTGCCTTCTCCTAATCCTTGAACCCCAGAATTGGGGAGGCAGATGCATTTTCATGATGGAGAGAAGCATAAGGTGGTGGTTACAGAGCCCAGACTTGGGGCTGGATTGCTGGGTTTGAATCCCATTTCTGCCTGTTACTTGGCATATGACTGTGGGATACTACTTAACTTCTCTGTACCTGTGCATCCTCCTCTGTACCCTGGGGAAGATGAAATAACAGCCCTTACCCAGAGAATTAGCGTGAAGATGACGGGCACTGATGTTTGGAATGACGTTTAGCACCTAAGCTAGTAAGAATCAAATATCAAACTTGCTAAACCAACTTTAAATTTAAAAAAAAAAAAAACTCAAAGAAGCATTTAGTATTCCCGTTTGAGACCATTGGTCTCAAGAATCATTTTTACAAGAACCTGAGGCAGTGGAAGCTCAGGTGCAACAGGGCTTGGAGACTTGCTTCTAGGGCCTGTCACTAATCCTGTTCCACTCCTCAAGACAGCAGCCTGTCCTTGCCTTTCCAGCTTGTTAGTGCTAATATTCCTGGTGCCCTTGGAGGATATCCATCCAGCACGCGCTCATGTAGAAACGCTGCTTTGCAAACCTTTCATCAAGTGTTATAAAGAAGATGTCAGACTGATGCAGATGCATCTGGGGGGAGGCAGGAAAGAAAGTCCTTCATTTTCAAACCTGTCAAACAAGCAGCTCTGGGCTGGCACTTGAGTGCTGCTGTGGGAGAGAAGGTTTGGGTGGAGGTACTTGGGCTGCTGTGGGTCCCCAGCAAGACAACAGAACCCAGCAATGTCCTTCCCAGCCAGGTCTCCCTGCCAGCACTGGGATGGGATCTTACTGCAAGGAGAAACCTGACGGTGAAGCTCCAGGGTCAGGGCAGAGGGCACTGCCTTCTCCCAGGAGGCCTGCCTATCCCCAGCTTTCTGTGGAGGGCCACCATACCCATGTGAAGGTCAGAACTGCCACAAAAGTCCTTGTGGATCCAGGCCACAGGGAGAGATATGAGTGGTGGATGCTGCTTTATAATCTCMGATTCCAAATCCCGGAACATCCGTGAGCAGCAAAGAAAGTGGGATTCGTCTTCATTAACTGGGCGCTCAAGCTCCCGGATGGCTCTGCTCTCTTCTCGCCTCCCTGCCCTCCTCCTGCTCACACAGCCCTTGCCCTTTCTCCCTACACTGCAGCAGCACTGGGCATGCTCAGAGCCCGAGGCCTGCCGGTTGGCAGGGGCACTGTTGGAGAGGTGGTGTGATAGGGTGGACTTTTTCCCAGAAGAAGCCCTCAGGAAGTCTAAGCTCACATTTCTGTGGTCCCATAGCCCCGTGATCTTGAGCATGCTTCTGAGCTTGTTGGGTTTCCATTTTCTTGTCCTTCAAATACTGGAGGTGGAGGGGGTGGTGAAAGACAGAGGAGAAGGGAGAAGGTGCACTGAAGGGTAGGACTCAGAATGGCATATACATAAATGTCTGCAGCATGTCTCCCCATAAGGGTGTGGGTGGGGAGCCAAACAGCCCTCAGCTTAATGCCACTGCTTCCCAGCAAGTTAACCTCTCTCAGCCTCAGCTTCTTCCACTCCTAAAATGGGTATAAAAATAGAACCTCCCTTGTGGGATTATGTCATATAAGCACACAGTGAATGACCATGATCACCACCTTCATCATAATCACGATACCTAATCCTGATGCTCTAGAGAGCCTGCTAGAATGTGAACTTTAATTTAGGTGCTGTGGGTGCTACAGGCAAGTTACTTAATCTCTTAGACTCCTTTTCCTCATCTGTCACTGGAATAATAATTAAATCACCATCTACACATCACCGAATGACTTTAGGACTAAATGAAATCATCTACAGAAAACTCCCAGCTCAGTTCTTCAATACTGTTAGCTCTTTAAGAAGAGTCGTGCTGCTTTCCTGGATGTATACCCTTCCTCCTTTGGCAGGGCAGGTAGCAGTCTGGTCAGGCAATAGGTCCTGCGCGACTTGTTAGCAAGAGCAAAGTTATCCAAGGAACTGTCCTGGGCAGACTTAATCCTGTAGCCAGGCCTMTGGGCCCAGGTTACACATGGATGCCCTGCAGGTAAATCACTGACTAACCACAAAGTCAAAGTCAGGGATGAGAATGGAAAAGCCCTTCATTTTTCCAGTCTGATTGGCAAGGTCCTCCCTCTGCTGAAAGATGATGCTTCCAGAGCTCCTCCCCTCCCCTCAGTGTAGTACTTCAGCTCCTGAGAAACAAGCCCCAGCTTGGTCTCCTTGGGAGAAAGGCAGAGCTTTCAGGCCCAGGGATATTTGTGTAGGGAGGAGGTAGAAGAAGTTTCAGGAGCTTGATTCATGACAGCAGCAATCTCGGTCAAACAGGTTTCTGCAATTCAGGGAGRGCTCTTTGTTCCATTGTTGCAGAGAGCCAGACAGGCCTCCCCACCATCCTGGAAGGGGGAAGTGGGTTGGAGAAGGAAGTTCCCTGGAGCCTTGCCAGCAGGCAGCTGCCAGTAGCAACTTCATCTCAGTTCACACAACACCAGGGATCCGATTCTGTTTGATTATTGCTTGTAAACCTTAGGCAACTGGCTTCCTTTGGTATTTTTCTCCCCCAGGGATAGAGGATGGTCAGAAACTGTGAAAAGAAGTTGAAACTATTCTGGCTTTTATTTATTTACTCACTTATTTATGGACAAGGCCACCATCTCCTGGAAGAGGTTTTCCAACTGTGAAAATTTTATAATAAGAAATCTGGCACATTAATAGATATTAAAAAAAAATGAACAGGAGAGGTAGAAGAAGCTCTCAGGTGATCTGGAGTATAAATTTGGTTTTGATGTAATGGAATATTATTTGATCCTAAAAAATGAATGAAATACTGGTACCCGCTGTATCACGGGTCCACCCTGAAAACATCATGCAGCATGAAAACGTTATAGAATTAAGTAGTATCACAAAGTTGCGCAACTTGGTGAAATCCAAAACCCCACTGAACTGTGCATTTTAAAAGGGTAATGATTATGTGGATGATATTTTCATTTTTTTTAATTGTAAAAAAATTCGGGTTGCAGTCAATCTGACCATCTGTCCCACAAATATTTTGGGGGTACCTGCCATGTGTCAAGGCATTTTGAAGAATTAGGTACACTGAAAGACATCTGATGCTCCTTCATGATGATCCACTAAGTGTGTTTCTTGGATAACTAGTAAAATTTCTCTGAGCCGGTTGGAGGTCACCTCTCGATGTCTCCCTCTGAGAGTAGCTAAGGTCCTGACAAACACCTTTCGAGTCTACATTTCCTAGAGCAGTGCTTCCTAAGTCTGATGGTGCATACAACTTGGCTAAGGTCTGTTGTCTCAGGTAGCTCAAGGGATCTTTGGTACTTTGTAGTCTGGACACTGTCAGGTTTTAGAATCCTGCCCAGGGACCTCATGGCCCAAGGCCTGGCTGCTAAGCCATTCATGATGGAGTTCCTTGCATCCTAGGTTGCATTCTGGATGGTTCCAGGTCTCTAAAAGAACACAGAATCTCTATTTTCACTTTCTTCTGGGGACCACTGTATCTCACAGAGCATCGCCCTAGGGAACCAGCATTTCACTTCCTGCAAAATTCAATTTTTCTGCACTTCCCTAGGGAAAAGTTGTGAAAGTTGCAATAAAAAGAATTACTTATTCAGTTATAGAGTCAGTCTTGCACTGTGTAAAATAAGCTGCTTGGTTTGCTTAGTTCTCAAAGTTTAGGGAAATATGTTTTATTCTGTTGAAGGATACATGTGTTATTATATTAACATAAGACGTGATTTATGTAGGCTAGATCATGAAATTGGTGACTAAATATTTAAAGTGAACCAAAGTTCATACACACATGTCCTGTCGAGCTTGCATATTCTAGTGCTCTCGCCAGTGCCCAACACTCCTCCTGTTGGGGCCGCTAAGCAGAATGTCTAAAGTTCTAATTTGTCCACACCTTCTCCTCTTCCCTTAGCTGTGTGCACAACTGAAGACAGATTCACACCTAACAGGTGACCACCAGGGGGTGCCCAATATCTTGCGGTTGCTGCATAGAAAGGATGTGAGGGAGGAGAAGGTGAGGGCTGACAAGGTGAGACAGTTTCTGCTAACAGCTAAGCAGATGGGGGGTGTCTTACCTGGGTCACTCCTCTCTGCAAAGGCCACGATGTGGATCCCATTCAAGTCATCCTCCTGAAGGAGAAAAGAAACCAAGGTCACACTCTCGGATGGAGGAGTGAGCCAGGGACAGGGACACAGAGGTTTGGACTGGAAATGGGGGGTGGGTGGAGGTTTGCAGGATGTGGAAGGGGAACGGATATGGAGGTACAGAGGAACAGAGCAGGGCATAGATTAAGGAAGGGGACAGAGATGAGCAGCGGGCAGGAATGCATAGAATTTTGATCAGGGATTTGGATAAATGGGTTTTCTAGATGGGAGAACATCAGCTACACATACCAAGACATTAGCACTACATGGATCTCACTCCTGGGTTTGGTCAGTCCAGAAGAGCAGCAGTAAAAAGTAAAATGAGGAAGAATGTAAGTCTGGTTTATCAGGAGCTTCCAGGGCAGCAAGCATGCAGAGGCCCCTCAGTGACTGTGGCTACCAGTCTGTTTCAAGAATTTGCCACCAGGAGGGGAGACCCAATATGGGGGCCGGAGAGGAGGCAGCACTTTCAGTACCTCCACATTAACGGGATCAGAGAGACGCATTAATACGCTTAGATTCTACCTGCTGAGAAACTTCTAGCAAAATTCCGCTGAAAGGAGACCTTCCGGGAATTAGTAAGTTTATTGGAGGTGACAATCTGCCCCAGATGAGTGAATCTTGGCCACGCGGCACAGAGGTCCAGCCCCGCCGGCCGCCACCTGCCCCTTGCGGCGAACGTTCGAACGGCTGCTGCCTGCCCGGCTCTGCAAACGGCCCCCGCCCAATCGGAGAACGGCCCTCGCCCGCCCGGCTCAGGAGGCGACTTGAAGGGACTCTAACCAAGCCTTTATGAAATATCGAACCGGGAACTAAACCCAGAGATTGAGTCAGACCAGAGAC